TTCTTATAAGTGATTTACGCAAGTAAAGTTGTGATTTGCCGCTAAATGACAAAGCAGTTGTAGCCGGTGCCACCGTCGTTGGCGCTGCTTGCCGCTGCTTACATTTATTACGATTTGTACTGGAAACGACGATTGCTTCCGCCTGGGCCAACACCTTGGCTGTTTTTTGGCAATCTTTTTCACTTCATGTTCTATCGGTCCATTGATGAAATGTTCCTTGCATGGAAACAAAAATATGGTTAGCCATAAAGCTATTATTTCGAAATGCTTACTTCCTTTTTATTTATTTTAAGCAGCCTACAGTGAAACTTCTGAAATTTCTCTAATCTGTACTGAAAACTTTTGATTCTATGATTTTTGCTGTGGAATTTTTGCTTTGTTGCTGATATACAGTGGGGTCGAAATCTTTTTTGTCTTTCAGCCGGGAAACTTGGAAATCTAAAATTCAGGAGCAAAGCGAAATTTTATTAAAATTTGTTATTTTAGCTCAGAGATTTAGGCAGATTAGTAACCTGACCTATAGTATCTGTTGTGGGTCTTAGCATGAATCATGAAGACGTAGAAGAGTATCAGCAAGAGAACTTATTTGTTATTGATTAAACTGATCAGATGTCGCACTACTTCTGGATACTTCCTGAAATTCAAGCTTCGGGATAATCCTTTGATTTAGGCAAAATAATAACGTTTTGGATTGGACCAATACCGCTGGTGATGGTGGCGGATGTGGAAATGATGCGCGAATACTTCGTACAAAATGCAGATGTGTTCAGCAATCGGTGGCGCAATCATGCAACCGACTGCTTCATGGGTAAGCTGCTAATTCCCTGGGTTTTTTTTAGTAGCGTGAGCAATAAATTGGGTAGCAGTTGTCTGATTCTGCACGTGCACTCTCTCAGGTCATGTTTCAGGAGGCCCATATGGCATAATCCAGATTGACGGCAATAAGTGGAAGGAGCAGCGGCGTTTCACGCTCCGTGTACTACGGGATTTCGGCGTTGGTCGGGCACTCATTGAGCAACGCATCCTAACAGAAGTTGATTACTTTGTCGACTACTTGCAAGCGAAGTGTGAGCATGGAGAGGAGGTGGACATTTGCGCTATGCATTCGGTCTGCGTCGGAAA